GGGGGGGGGAGACGGGGTGAGGGCGCGGGAGCATAACAGGAGGACGGGTCAGCATTTAAAAAAAAAGTCGGCATAAAGAAGAAAACAGTGAGAATAACGAGAGAAGTGGTAGCATAACCAGGGGACCCTGGAGCATAAAAAAGGGAACGGTGCAGCATAAGGGATCGGGACGGCTTCCGCGACACAGAGAGAATAAGAAAAAATAGCGCATAGCACAAGAAAAAAAAAACAGTCCAATAACAACTGCAGCAGAACTCGGGTCGAGACGAAGGCTGCTCGGACCTGCACCAGTGTCTGGCACATCATCTGGCTGATGTTTTCAGATGCACTGCGCATGTACTGCTGCGCGTGTTGCATGCTCGGTCGTATTCAAAACGCCCATGCTCTCTCTTGTCCTCCTTTGTTTTTGTCGACTAATCTCTTCAGTAGGGAGGGCCTCGATAAAGCATGCTGTCCGTGCGGTTTCCCGTCCGCCACCACCGCCGGCAACAGTTTTACAAATGGAGCCGCCGACTTGCAGCAATGTTTTGCAGGTCGATTGAATATGTTAACTCAAGCGGCCTTGCCATCCAGAGCGTGATGTCTCCAAAGCTGTCCAAGGAAAGGATGACTGGACAATTGCCTGCAACATGGCATGCTGCTGTTAACTGTTGTCAGAAAAGACGACCTGTCAGGGGCGTGCCTCCTGCACGGCTTGCCGAAAGAACTACAATTCGCAAGATCTTTGTCAGCGATGTGGCAGATGCTGAATGTTGAAACCTGGGCAAAGAAGCGATGCTGCAGCAGCGTCTGCAGGGATGCACAAATCCGTGGCACTGACATGACAGCGGTTGGAGACCTTGCCGGCGACCTGGCAACCGAAGTCCGTTCTCAGAGAAACTGCGCAACTGGTGTTTACAAATGAACTTGACCATTAGTTGCATGGCGCTTTTGTCGTCTCTCGTTGCTCAAACACAAGTGCAAAACGACTGTGCTGGCACTGTGGCCCCAACAAGCTGTCCCCTCCCGCTCTCCTAAGGAGAAACCAGACATATCAGCATTCAGAGAGGTGCACCACAGACAGTCCCGTGGTCAGCCAGAACCGAACCGCTGTCCGAAGAGAGATACGGGCAGAAATGCGACTAATTAGAGTCGGGGCTGAGTCTGCAGGGAAGCAGAAATTGTGAATTGGCCATACGGCTCCGTGCTCGGTTTCCCCCCACTGGCCTCATGCCATGGTGTGTGATCGTGTCCACGGCTGCTAGTACGTCACTCGCACCCAATCCCGTGGACTTCGCCGCCCCCAGAGCTGCCGGATCCCACACCAACCAGGGGATGGACGCTCGCCGTTGCCCTCTGGCCTATCTGGCCAGTCATGCGATGGTGTCGGAATGCGTGTGCTGGTTGCGCCGTCCTTGCAGGCTCCGCGCCGCAGAAGCCCACCTCCATGGCTCGTTTCTGCTTTCGCAGCTCTTGCTGCTCCCGCTGCTCCTGCTTCGCGGTGGTCGTCTGCCTTTGTGGCGCGGTGCTTGTCCTCAATTTTGGGGGGTTGGCTGTGGCGTCCGCGTCCGCGCATGTCTTGGGCCGCCCCTCTTCGTCCTGTCATATCGTCCTTTGCAAGCGCGGTCCTTCACCCTCGGTGAGAATTGTCGTGAAATCGTAACCAGGTTTTGCTTCCGAGTAAGTATAAGCTCCCGAGACTTGAGCCCACATGGTGTCTTCTTCTGCATGCTTCAGCGGCAAGGGCCCTGGCCACGCTGGCCAAGCGGGTCCGGTCCATTAAGGTTCGCCCCGTGTTGTGGATACTTAGGGCTTTTCCCGCGATGTCCAACATGCACCGTACTGCGTGGCCTCTTCGTGAACTTGGCCTCATGGCCCCCATTTCTCGCCAAAGTCTCTGCTCAGTCGCCTCATCCTGCTGCCCTCTCTCTGTCTCTGCAATTCCCTGCTCCACCTTGACCTTGTAGTTGTACTCAAAGTCTCCTACGAGCAAGTGCTTCGTCTGGCTGCCACCATGCTAGCTGCTAGCATCGTGACAGTGTCTCGACATGGTTCGGCGCTTCTCTCCTTCGGCCCATCGGTTGGCAGCCAAACACCCAACCTTCTGCAAGCTCTGGTGGGCCGCTGTAGTGGAACCACAAGAAAGCCACAAGACGCGCAGCAAAAGCGCATCCAAGTTCTGAGTTGTTGACAAGCTCCCAGGGCCAGTTCCAAGGCTACCGGCCGCCACCAGCATGCCTTCGCCAGCCTGAGACGGTGATGGTCTACCGTTTACAATAGGAGGCAACAGTCTTCTTGGCGAAAGATGGCGAAAGAAACCTTGAGGAAGTGGCCTCACCCGCTGGCGCTGCATAAGCATCGCTGATGCCACCCTCGCCTCCGCCTCACCGCTGTCGTTGAGATTTTTGCATCGAGATATGTCGAGATGCATCGCGCAAGCATTCCCTCAAGCCCTGAAGTTCGGGGAATGCCTCGCCCATTCCGTGGTGAGGCCTGGCCCCTAAACAGCCTTCCCACCTGAGGCGTGGTTCGACTGTCCACTGTGGTCATACATGTGATACGTGGGCCCAGACTCAACCTCACTCTTCAAAAAACTTCCAAAACTTCCAAATGACCCCACAGTGAACGAGGGCCGTGCGGTGGATCGAATGCCTGTGGGCGGACCTGTCGGGGGAGCTCCATTCCCGACGGGTCCCTGCCCCTGTTGCTGCTGTGGCATGTAGTGCTTGCGAGCCCATGGCGAGCCACCCGCGTGGTGATACCTAGGACTTGTTCTTGGGGGCGTCTCCTCATGATTGCTAGTTTTGCCTGCATTTCCTGCAGAGCCCAATGCCAGCAGCCTCGTGCGACGAACAGATGGCTACCGAGTTTGTGGATGTTTGTGGCCCGAATCTGGGGATCTGGGATCACACTTGTCTCTTTGACCCATGCTGGCCCGGGCCCGGTTCTCTCGTAGCTGTACAACGGAGGTCACAGAACGCACCCTCGCCCTGATAGCGCCGAAGAATATTGCAGTGGGCATGTGGTCGACGTGACGAAGTGCCGCTTGTAGTTTCGCCGGGGTTTGTGGGGTCCTCGGCCAAAGTAGCAGCTACCACGACTCGGGCCACAGGGCACGGAACGGCCTGCTTTTTGTAGTTGGCGACGTCACTTCTTGCATATCTGGTCTTGTCCGATCTACGGCACCACCCTCCTCCCCTTGAGCTCAGCTGCATGTCATGAGCTTGTCTCACAGTTCTCGCATGTTCGAGGATTTGAGAGTTGGCCACGCGACTCGCTCTCGCCTCTTGGCGACACCGCACCGGATATGTCGAGCGTTTGCACCTGGCAATCACATGCCATCACCCAGCTTCCTACATGGAACTCGCTTCCGAAATGGCCACATTTCAGAGCAAGTCGACAGAGGCACCAATCCCAGACTCAAGCGCTGAACCTACACCAAGGCGGGCAAAAGGGCCGGACTGGGTGGCAACTTTGACTAGATTGTAGCCGACAAACAATCTTTACGAAAGGCCTGCCCCTTGGATGAGATGACACCTCGGCTCTACTGCAGACGCACGAGATCGCAGCGAAAGGCGCTTGACATGTTCATGCAAATGTTCATGCAAACGTTTAAGAAGTTGCACATGTGTAGAGCAGCATCTGGCCCGTCGAAGTGCCGACCAGAATCATCGGGCGCTCCTTCAGGGCAAATACCACGCGAAGGAACCCGCATCATTTGGCTTTGGAAGAAATGAGCCGGAACGAGTGTCAAAAAAACTTAGAGTTCACGAACGATCTTGGGCATGGGATGACACGAGCGGATCGCACCCTTCTGAGCAGGTGCACATGTGTCAAGTACAGTAGCATGGGAGTTCCTTCAGAACAGATGTTGAATGAAAGAACCAGCATCAGATGGCCTGTGACGGAACGAGCGTCAAAAGCGTAAATTTCAAGATCTTTGGTGTGGGCTGACGGGGTCGGATCTGTTTGAGATGCCTGTCTCTGTGCGTGTGCGTGTGTGTGCCTGACTGGAACGGGTTCGAAGCCGAAAACAAAAATGAGAAAAGACAAGCATGAGTTTGCAACTGGTCGGTGATGAGGGCGGATCAGGCAGTGCCAAGTGGCCTGTGCGGACCTGGCCCGCATGTAAGCTCTAAGCTAGCCGGAGTCTTTCTTATGTGATTGTGCACTGCTGGGATGGGGAAATACAGACCTGGCAGGGTGTAGCAAGAAGCTTACGTGATGAACAATGACTCATGACTGTCACCACCCCCAGCCTCTGGGTATGCTATTAACATTGAGGCTGACATGCCTTTCGGCAAGTCGAAAGCCTGCCAAAGGCCCACACATTGTCATCAGCAGTTTCATGGGCTGCTTGCATCAACGTGCCTTTAAGCCACCTCCACTGCCACCTGTAGCACGACAAGAACGCCATAGCTTCCACATCACAAGCCTTGCTGCCAAAGGACCATCTGCCATGTGATTCGAGACGTCCGCAAGTCCCAGCTTCGAACCTGTCATGTTCAACCGAACGCCTCCAGCCATGCGAAAATCCATGTGCCAAGCTGTGGTAAGCTCTGAAACCTGCTGCCACAACAGCCCACCCAAGCTCTTGGATGAAGCACAATGCCGATCCGGCTCCATGGTCGTCGCTGACCTGGAAAGTTCAGCACCAAGTGCCTCAGGAAGTAAGTACCTACATGTGCCTGCTTGGTTTGCTCCTTTCGATACTAGCAAGCAAGGCGAAGGGTCCGATCAGAACTCTGAGCAATCGTACAACCGGCTGCACGGCCCAGCCTCAGAGAAAATCCCCAAGATTGACCTGGAGGCCGCAACTCTCGCTTCCGCATCACAGCCTCTTGACATTCTCATGGCTCAAAGTTCAGTCCTGAGCACGAGACTCTATCCCAAGATGATGAGCATTAGCAACTAAGAGCTGGCCGGAGGATAAAAGGACCAGCAAGCACTCGGAAGCCTGGCCGAATCCGATTCCACGTTTTGTGATGTTGTGATTCATTGTGATTCTGTGAGTAACTGCGAGTTGCGAGGTGGGCGGGGAGTCGGTGGAGAAGCTGCATCCCTCACATGAAACAATCGCGGCGGATTTCAAGCTGGAGCACGGCGAATGAGCTCAAATCCGGCTACAAGCCTGTACTACCCGGGAAGGGGCTGAACCGGTTTCCTATCAGCCGTCCGTCCACAGAAAGGGGCGGTCGGGAAGCTAAAACCGACTTCAGGCCCGTAGGACAGCAGATTGTGGTAAAACCAAGAAGCTTAGGACCTATTTTCAAGGCGGCGCCCTAGCGCTATGACTATTCAATTGAAAGCCGGGAGGAAATCTTATTGGTTGACTAAACTTGCCAGGACATATAAGCTGAAAGACGAATGACAGACTCAAGTATTCCGAAGATAGCGGCATGCATTGTTTCAGCCCCACTTTGGATCCTCTGGCATATCGCCCCTTTGGACCATTACTGTTTGGTTTCTTCCTCCTTTCAGGAACAGCCTCGCAATGCCTCGCACAGACCCCCTTCACCCTCCTGGCATTCTGACGTAGCCACTTAGACCATGCATGGTGAGCCTCCCTCCACCCTCCGCGCTGAAAGGCAGGAAGCCCCGCCAATGCAGCCGAAACTGGCGAGTTCCCTCACTCTTACGTCTGGGTTCGCGGCGTATTTTCACGAGTGCGGGCAAAGCCCATGTGGCACAGAGAAACTGAAGCACAGGAATTGCATCATCGTACTATCAGAACCAACTGTGCTGCTGCTGAAACTCCAGGAGGCAGTTGTTGATCGCTTCAAGCCCCGGTATGACAGCTCAACAACCAAAGATGAATTCGACTTGATTGTAAATGAGCTGCGTGCATTGTCTCTTCTTGACATGGGTTTCCAGTACGAGGCATGGTATCACGAGGCCCAGAAGTTTGCCAAGATGTCTGAACCTGGTTACCGCAAACGCTGCTTCAACGCAAAGGAGAGACAGTCCGTGGCAAGAGCCATCCCCTTCAATCGTGATTTCAGTACCTCGTTCAATGGCCGAGGTCCAACGCACGATGCCTCGCGCCAAGCGCTGTACCCTATCAGACAGATGCAGATCTGTGAGCAACTCCAGCGCTGCACAAGGGGCAAAGGAAAAGGCGAACCAAAGAGCAACAAGGCAAAGGCAAAGCATCTGGTAAGGGCATGTAAGGGTAAGTAAGCACAGTGGGTTGCCTTCAGCAGCAAGGCCACCCTCTTGGAGTTCAAGACGGAACAACACTCGTTCAGCGCAGACGCACAATGACGTACACCATCCCAACAACTTGGATCCGGAGGCAGATGGTGCGCAGTGCGGCGGTAGAGCAGCAGAGGAAGTTGAATCGATACCTATGTAGCCGTGAACGCCCAATGTATGGACCAATACCTAACGCAGCTCATGGGGCAAATTAATAGAAGTAGTAGTAGTAGTAGTAGTAGTAGTAGTAGTAGTAGTAGTAGTAGTCGTCGTCGTCGTCGTCGTCGTCGTCGTCGTCGTCGTCGCGTCGTCGTCGTCGTCTCGTAGTAGTAGCAGTAGCAGTAGCAGTAGCACTGGCAGTAGCAGTAGCAGTAGCAGAAGCAGTATTTATAGTAGTAAGAATAAAGAATAATTCGAGCAATTCCAATGCTCGTAGCAGTAATCATAATCATGGTTAATGTAGTAGTGATAGGCATCGTAATTGTAAGAGCAAAAGTAGTGATAATAATTGTGGTAGCAGCAGTAGCATTCGCAACCTGGAAAATTCATTCGCGCTCCCTCCCCCACCAATTCCCAAGTGCCTGGAAAAGAACAACTTGGAATGGTTGTATCGGGGCCTGGAAAAATCATTCGCAAACACCCCCCCCCCCGCCCCCACCGACCCCCGTCCGCCCCGGAAAAACAAATCGCAATTTTTGCGGGGCTTGGAAATCATTGCAATCAGTCTAAGCACGCCGGGTTTGGGGCTTGGGGGCAGCTTTGGGAAGAGGAGTCAAGGCCTCATGCTGGGGGGTGTAGGGTTGGAGGGGTTGGGGTTGAAGGAGTGCAGGTCTGAGGGTCTAGGGTTTAGGGCTTCAAGGTGTAGCAGAGGGTTTAAGGTTTTCGGTTCCGAACCTCTCAGGTTTAAGCAAGGGTTTGGCCCTTCGTGCAAGATGCATCCACTTATTTCAGAACTAGTCCGCCTAAACCCGTAAACTCCAAACTCTTTCTAGATAGGCTTTATACGATGCTTGACATTACTTAGCGATTTTTCTTGTCACTGTTCATCGCCAGCACCAAATTCAGCACCAACAAACGGGTGATGATAAACAACTTCATGATGAATCCGCTCTCAGAGAGTGCCTCAAGAGATGCCAGCGCCAGCGCGATGGGCCGAGGAGAAAGCGCACGACCGAAGCTCAATGGAAGATCAGCCTAAGTCCACATCTCTCGAGCAAACACCCAAGCGAAAGACCATTGCACATGCACCACCCTCTGGCCAGTACAGGACGTCAGTGCAGTGCGCGCCCCACACCCCTGCCTTATCCCCGGCCTGAATCCCAACATTCTGAAATCCAGAACTTCGGTCAGACCTCATCTGCCTCTCTATATCCGTCTTTCTAGTGGGCAGGACGGTGTCTAATTCCCGCGACTGTGGAACAGAACTTAAGCTGCTTTGGTGTTGGGGTTCAGGTGTGCGATTGTGCCAACATGGTTGATTCGCTTGCGGTTCGGGTTTGGTGCTGGTGGCTGTAGATACAAAACCAAACGATACCGACACTCTGGCCAAACTTGGTGGCTCCATACTGTTCCACGCTTCCCTCTTCAGCGGAGTGCACAAGTTCCCACGACACTTGGTGAGCTTTCCGCACGATACTATGAAGGGTGGGGGCCAAATAGTCTCGGCACGGACACTGAACATCGAAAGCCCTTTGATTTCTTTGCTTGTGGCGACCTTGCTGAGAAGGAATGCAAAAGCAGGCCACGCTCAAGCTGCCTTCTGCTTCTTCGGCGGTGGCGCCACTGCCAAGCCAGATATGTCCTCAACCCGAGTGTAAACTTGCCAATGCTATTGACTGCGTGTGGTGGTCAAGGTCACACTCAAGGCAAACTCCGGGGCAGGGACGGTTGCACAGCTGTCCTGACGCTCAATCTTCACGCTGACCAAACTGCACAAGGTTTGCCCCGCGGAAATCTCCAGATTGCAACCCTCCTTGCAGCAAGCAACTTTTAGGTCCTGCAAGGTATTCGGTCGAGCGCCGTCGTATGATGATATGTGCAGAGTATTCTGGCTGACCTTCGTACGCTTTTGATGGCGACAAGGGCGGCATGGTCAGAAACGAGAATGGGGGCTTGACTGCTGCCGTGTAAGTCGATCGACAATCGGCAGACGAAATAGCAATGTCTGCCTACGAGGCCCAACCCCTGAGCTCACACTGCTCACACTGCTCACGCCGCTCACGCTGCTCACAATCTCTGGCACCCTTACAATGCTCAGCGCCTTCGCCCAGGCAGCTGCGTATTGCGGCCAATGTGGGCGTGACGTCTCTCCTTCAAGAACTCTGTGGCGGGGGGGAGGGCTTTGTCATGGTCTGCCCTCCAATCAGGCAAAGCAACAAACGTGAACATCCTCTCGGTCTTGCTTGACAGCGGTTGCGATCAGATGTTTCGTCCGTTGTCGCTTGTTGCCGCTGTCAGCAAGGCACAACGCCGGCAGGAGCTATATGAGCTATGCAAGAGCTATGCAAGCCGCGCCTTCGGGCATTGGACTCCCCGGCTTCCGGGTGTTGCCGTTGCCATCTGCGGCGACCAAACAAAGCGGCGCTAAGTTCTATCAGGTTGCCAGATGCACTCCAGGGCTTCCTACTTGCTAAGTGCATCTAAGTGCAGGGCAAGCCTTTTTTCTGAAACCACATGTTCACTAAGTTCACTATACATTTTACAGCATGGGACAGGAAACGGCTGCAATTTGCGCCCAAGAGGGCACCGAGCCAAAAAAATGAAAGGAGCAACTTGCAACAACACACCTGAAAACCCCTGTAAACCCCTTAGAAACCCCTCAAAATCCCTGAAAACCCCTTTCTGCAAGTTTCGTTTCTGACAGATTGTCAGGCTGTGGGGCCTCATTTGGGCCTCTGTTGGTGCTGCAATTATCAGCAAGTGTCTTATCAAGTCTTATTTTTGAGTACTGTTGTGGCAACCTTAGACTGGCAGCTTGCAGACCCACTGTATACTCAACTTCTGTACAAAGACCCTACAGGTTGCACTTAGCATGAAAAGCTGGCGCAACTGCGCAGTTGCTTATCCAGAAGGGAGGCCATATGAGGCCATGCCCTGGCGGAGCATTGCAGCTCCGCAGTGCTCATTAACTATTCTGGAACCGAGCGAATTTTACGCTTCGGCTTCATGCATCACGACCTATCACAAGTCCTCATCGAAATCTGTCTCTCGTTGGGGCTCCTGCACTTTCACTTGTTCATATTGTTTTTCGGGCGACGCATTGTGAAGGCGCGTCCTGGATGCCGACATAAAGCCAAACCGACAGGATCCCACCCAGACGACCGAGAATTCTGCACTCGATGGTGTAGAAGACATCCTGCAGCAACCGAGCCACAAAAAAGAACTGGAACGGGCGCGGCTACTGATATGCAAGTTCCGCCTCCTCATCAGTATCAATGATATGCTTGTACCTTCGAAGGGCAGCCAAATGCAAAACAAACGTCTGCCGCCTGCCGCCGCGGTGACATTTACTTGTCCAAGCGGCTCGGTGATTTCCATGAGGTATTGTCGAATACTTTCTTGATCGGATGTGCAAAAATGCACTGGAAGGCCCCTGAACTTCTTCCCTCGCTTGATTGGAAAACTGTCCTGTCAATTCTGCAACATCGCGCTCACAACTAATCCGCCGAGACAAAGGCGTCGGATGCATGTACGGAAACATTCGCTTACCCCACCCTCCCTTAGAAAGACAAGGGCATTTTCGGATGGGATCCGTGCTGGGACCCAGTCTAGTGGCTCTAGTGATGGTGGAAACAAACAAATGTTTTTCTGGTCTGCGGATTCACTCGCCCCAAGAAGTCTGGGGAGATTGACCTGCTCACGTACCCCAGGTCCACTAAGAACTAATTCAAACATTACCAGTTCGAACCCCATTAGGAAATACGTGAAGAAATCGAGGGTACCCTCAAAATTGTGGAGGCTATAATTCCGAAAATTGGGTGGGCTTCATAGTTAAGAAATCGAGAGTACCCTCGCCCAAGCTTAGAGGTTTCTTATCCAGCGCTGTCACTGTACATGCTGCGGGTAACACATCCCATCCTCGGTTCTTGCCTGTGGGCCAACCAAACCGCACACAGCCGGGCTTACCCCCGCAACAACTTGCCGATATACTTGCCGATCAAGAAACTCACTAATGAACACAGCTAGGCCAGCTAGGGACAGGTTCAAGCCGTGCTTCGAGAAGAAGGAGAGCGAAAGAGAGAAAGAGAGAGAGAGAGGGACAGAAGGACAGAGGGACAGAGGGACCGATAACGTGCGAAGAAAATGGAAGGCTGTATATCGTGGATTTAGCATATGCAGAGATTCTCAACACGCGTTTGCCGAGCGATTCGCCATAGAAGAAACTGCAAGGACCGGAGATCAGACAAGCCATCGCCAGCTGCTGCAAAACCACATGTTGTACATGAAACTGCCATATCTTCCATGTCCTCCTTCTTCTGAAAGTCGTGACACAGTCGTTCGAGTGACTTCCACAAGCGTTCCTGCTCCTTGACGTAGTCCTGGCAAGGGGCAGCCGTTGATTTGCTGATATTTGCCGCGCCCCAACGTCCTTGTAGCCACTGTCGAAGAAAGGAGACCCATGACGATTCCAAATCCGGAGGTTTAGAATTCGACCTTTGCGATGCAGAAACAACGACCAACAAGATGTGCAGGAAGCTTTTGTTGCAACATACCGTTCATGCCTGAGTTAGCTGAGGCCCTGCACCAACAAAGTTGTAAAACCTCGAGACGAAGTGGGTCATCACATTTTATCTGCAAAAGCGCTGTGGCATGAGAGCCACCACAAGTTGTCAAATCGAGCAAGGCACTTCTGCTGGTCACTCATCTGCTCCCGGGGCATGTCGGATGGAATCTCACGATATCCCTCGAGCACCCTGCCATGCCCAACAGAAGTCCAACGCTAGACTTGCGGGGATCTGTCGACAAGTGCCTGGAAGCAGTAGGACTGTCTGGATCGATTTGTCTCCAAAGTTCGTGGATCTCCAGGAAGATTCGGAGTTGCTGCATTAACTCCTTCACCCCAACTCTTTGCAGCACGCCGTACGCTGGAGACAAGGTGCCACGCCTCGTTGTGGTCAAACATGGTGTCCATGCCCTTCTTGCCCCTGTAAAGCTGCAGATTCTGCATCATCTCGGTGCCTTGGACATGCGAAACTACAAGAGACCAACGACGCAAAAGAAGAGATGGTCTTTGTCAGGCCCTTTGAATCCGTTCAATGCAGCCCATGATCGCAAGTCATCCTGCAGATCATCAATTATGGATGGCCGCAGCTCAGGCTGAACTGACACATTCGGGCAGATCGGCTGGAAGTTCAGATTCCTAGGTCAACACATCAGAAACTATCCGCTTGACATAACAACCGCACAACGGCTGCAAAACCTAGATTAACGGACCGGATAGCCCCACATGTCTCCAAAGCTTGCACCCACCGAGGTTTCAGGCGGGGCTTCCCATAGAGGCCGCAAACCTTGCCCCCGGCGAGGTTTCAAGGCGAGGTTGCCCCTGTATAGAGGCCGGAAGGCTTCGAATCAACAACTGCAGCCCTCTATACAAAGGCCGAAGCCAACCTCCATGATGTGGTGTGGCGACCCCACGGATTGATGTGGAGAAAATCCAAGAGTCTTCTCATCATCATCATTGAGGAAGCATTCCCATGGGGGACTTTCTGCATCTGTTTCGTCAAAATCCTGAGCTGCACACAAATCCTGCGACGCAGGAAGCGGCAGGAAGTGCTTTCTCCCGGCCTGGAGTTCCCTCAGCCGGCACAGGCACGGCAGCCACGGGCCCAGAACGAAAGAACACACCAAGTTCAAGCAAACTTCACGAGCATGCCGCAGAAGTGCTGGCGGGACGCATATGTAATACAAGCTGGGTGGTGGTTTTGGCGATTTGCCCAAGCATTCTTGTCATTGAAAACGACCTGCACGGTAGCTTGCCAGATGCATCCAGATTCCCAATTACCCACAAAAAGCATGATGAACCGGTCTCTTGGCCTCAATTGAGTCATAGGGTAGCCATGTCACCAGCGCATCATCCTGGTAGCATGTTGGATGCACTAGTCCGACTGTTAAGCAAATGGCAGTCCTGCAGCATCTTCCGCTTTGGAGCAATGGAGAGGCCCTGGCAGCATTAAAAGCATTAGAAAATATTAGAAAGCAAGGATTGCAAAAAGCCCCCCCCGTTCTGCAACGGGGACTCTGGAGGTCCAGCCTCGCGTTGCTCGATGAGCTCGCGCTTGAGCCTTTCACGACCAGGTTCCTCGTCCTTCTTCTTGCCTTTCTCGGAACGCATCTTCGGCTTCGGCCTGAGAAAGCTCTGACACGCACGCTTCGCTGTCCGGGTCATACACCAGTCACCAGTGAGTGCCCCGCATCCGCCCAACAGTTGGCAGGCTTTCCATGTCTTCCAAATGAACTCGTGAATCTTCAGCTTCTCCTAACAAAGTGCTCAACATAGAAACTGCATGAAAATGTTGCCACCATTCAGGCCAATGCCGCCTTCCCACTGCTGCTTCTCCAGATTTGCATCTTCATCTTGCTCCTCCTCCTCCTCCTCGTCCTCCTCTTTGTCCTCTTCCTAACAGCAAGGGCGGGTACAAGAGGGAAACCAGGAAAGCAACATCATGTTGATGTTTCGTGTGTACGACTTCTAGTCTCTTGGCTTCGGAATTCACCGTTGCTAATCGCAGCACACGTCCAGACATCTACAGCTGCGTACGACAAAGTGCATAAACACAGGTTGCCCATGGCTGCCCTTATGCCTCACGTTCATCCTTCGCATTTATTACATTCACTGGCCTTGAATGCCTGCGGACTACCTGAAGTCACCTTTGAATACATGAGGTCCGCCTTCCCCAAGGGCTCGGTTTTTCTTCTCCTGGCTTTCTTAGGGTCGTATCGATTCGGAAGGTGGAAGATCTGACGGCTGGACGGCTCCCAGAAGGTTACCCATCCTTTGTGACGCGTCATGACCCAGGTGTGCTCGATGAGTTGGTCTGCCTTGTCGATGGTTGCCACAGGATCTTTTGAATAGACCGTGCCTTTCACAACATAGGCATCCTCTTTGCAGCCCAGTAGAAGCGAGCAAAGCAAGACTGAGTGATCCTGGGGTGCTCCCTTTCGTCGGGCAAGGACATACTCGGGGTCCTTCCAGCCGTCATAGGGAATCAGGCCTGTACGTGCCTGGCGCTGTGTGATCTCAAAGGAGAGGCAATGAACCCACTCCAGAAGCTTCGCTGGAAAGCTCCACTCTTCCGGCACAATGATCGGCGAAACGAAAGCCATGAGCGGCGTTTCGACGCGTGTCAACGGATGCAGGCTGATGCAGGGAAATCGTCTCAACGAGTCAGCAGTTTGGATCATGCTCTCCTCTTTTGGCTTCTTAGCTCCAATGGAATCCGGGAAAGGCAGCGCATAGTCTTCCGCATTTTGCCTGTTCTTGTTGGTCCATTCCTCCTCCTTCTTCGCCCAAACAGACTCCGCGTCAGCTTCCTGCACTTCATCTTCAAATCGAAGAGTTTCCGCCCAGTCCGGATAAAAATATGCTTCGAAGTGGATTAGGGCCGCATCCTTGTTGGCCAAGGCTGATTGACCCAATGCCGTTTTGCTGCCGTCGTACACCCGCACCGACTTCGGCTCCTCGTACCATTGGTTGTGTCGCTCTTGCTTCTCTTCCAGCTCATTCTCCTCCTCTTCTTCGTCCCTCTTCTCTGTCTTCAACGGGCCGAGCAAGGTGCGCTTCTGTGTTGCACGGACATTCAGTATGTCTCCTAGTGTCACCTGACATCCACCCAAGCAATCTGCCGAAGTCACGTCGTCATCCCAAACCTGGATTTGCACAAAGCCCTTGCTGGTCAGCTCGTACTTGAGGATTGTATCCTGGTGCTTCTTCTCTGCCTGGCCAAACCGTTCGAGAAGAGCTAACCCTTTCCCAGCCTTTCTAAGCCTTTCTAATCCTTCTCTAAGCCACAGTCCGGACCTTGGAACCCATCCGCATTTCAGGGAACACCACCTGAGCTGTCAGCTTGTGGCAACTTCCGGCTAGACGCAACATTGTCACGAAGTTGTCCACTTCAGCCCAGCCACCCTCACAGGGAAGTAAAAGCTTTGGTTGAACACAGGACGAAGCGATTGCTTGACGACCGGCGAGAGCATCACCATGTTGTCCCAGGTGCAGCGCAGGTACGGATCCTTGGCGGTGGTTGGGTTGATGGGCCGTAGGCTCGCGTAAGCAGATTCTCTGTGCATGCTGCCGTGCCTATGCAGTCACGCCTCTGAGCTGCTTGTGTCAAAGTCCGCCACAGGCAAAGCTTCACATTTCTTTATGCCTGAACACAGCAGCTGTAAGCTTCTTGGCCAAAGGCACAGCTATCTCGACAGGCTGAATACTGACCAGCGACGCACAACCAAGTATCTTTCATACCGGTTCAAGTGAGACACCTGGGCTGATCAAGCGGACCTGCATTTCGCTCGACAATCCTCTCCCGAACCAACACTCAGTCAGGGAGCAGTCGTGGCAGTTTTCAACTGCTCGGGTCGATTGGTGCGAAAGTCCAGTTCAGGCTCCTGCACAGCACGTGTTTCATGTACTGGTCCTGGAGAAGGGGCTACAGGCCGAGATCTTTCCTTCATGCCCTTGGAACGCAGTATGCACTTGACATTGCCATTGATATCACCGACAATATAGCGATCGTGATCAGCAATGAACCGCTTGACCTCGCAGGGCATCAGCGCCAGCATAAAACAGTGCAACAGGACAACAGGCGGACAACAGGAGGACAACAGGAGGACAACAGGAGGACAACAGGAGGAGGACAACAGGAGGACAACAGGAGGGCGACAGTTCTGAAGCTTCAAGCCCGAGCCTTCCCTTGGAACACTGACATATCCAGAACCTGGAAAGCACACTACAGCACACCAGCAACTTCTGGTTCACGATGGCGATCGCCCAAAGGCCAAACTCTAATTCCTGAACTCAAGAACTAAGCCGCTGAAGTCAAGTTGAGGAGACATCGACCAAGCACCCGGTGCGGTTGTGCAGGTGCGTGCTTCTCAAGCTTCTGCACGGTCCTAAGGCTCATCAGGTGTTGTGGGCAAGCTTGGAAAACACGAAGCAGACGCAAACAGCTGGTTGCTTCCCAGCATCGCATTGTCCGCGAGAAATGCCGGTGGTTTTCCAGTCAGGACGGAAACAATGAAGTAAGAGTTCTGCAAGTGCGTCCTCGTACCTCGAAAAACGAACTTTCCGCAGTTCGGCCAAAAGAAGCGGCCATCTTGCTGGTTCCATTCCTGGCAAGGTTGCACAGCAAGCCACATGCGGAGACTTGATTCTTCCATGTTCTTTCATGTTCTTCCATGTTCTTCCATGTTCTTCCAAGTCTCCACGGTCTGCGACGCAGCTCCCATGCCAAGATATCGTCGCTGTCCAGGCAGCGTTCGGCGATCCTGCAGGAAATCAAGACCATGTTCACCCCGGCCACGCGGCGAAACATTTTCGAGCAGCTTCCAGCAAACCCCTTCAAATGGGATTGCCACGCAGACCAACCGTTCTTGTCCTGTCCTCTGTGATTCTATGATGACCATGAGTATATGATTACATGCGTTTGGTTTTGGTGCCCTTTGTGAGATCCAGATTGCTCTTCTTTCCCCTGTTGAAATGCGGATGTGGCGGCAGCTTCCTCAATAATAAACATCAAAGAGATACACGTGACTTGCCTCTTGAAGTCGTTGTGTAATAGCGGGCAAGTGAGATTCTTCTGCTTTGACAAAATGCCCTGGAAAGAAACACACACACACACACACACACACACACAGAGATCCTCCGAAGAATCTGAATGCTGCCCTCGGCATTCCGTGCAACATAAACCTCCCAGTATTCTTAGTCGATAAACATGCTCCACTGCTGCCATTCAGAATGCAGGCTGTCCCGCGGCATGGTAAACGTCAAGCGCTTGCGCTCTTCTTTCATCTTCTTGTACTCTGGACTTGCATGGCTAAGCTCCAACGTCCAGTTCTCACCTGCGGGAGTTTTCACAAGTGTCACGAGTGCCACGCTGAGCACAATTGCTGAAGAACGTCTGGGGTTTTAAGGACCGGGCAAAACAAATCAAAGTCGAAAATCTCTTCGAGGTTGACGGTGCATCTGTACAGCGCCACATCAGCCACTGATTTGGCCTTCTTTTTGTCAGCCATCTGTTTGCCTTCGGTCACGAACAAATTTTGATGTGCGGCGAGGCAGGGGAAGCCTGTGTAAATCAATGTTGCCTGCCTGAGGAATCAAACTGTGCTGACCCATATCATCGAGTTTCTGTACGTCAGTCGCGAGTGTTGCGACTGTTCGTGCAGCCGGCTCCGCTTTAACTGCAAAGGCATCTGCAGGTTTCGTTCCATTCAAGAGCGCCAGCCCACGAAAACCAAACGCCCCATGACAAATGCACGATGCTCCTTTTGTTAGTTGAGGTGCCACTGGGCTCCAGGGGCTGCGGGGCTTGGGCTAGCCCCTGTGCGTTCCTGTGACTCTGAGGAGCATCTGAAGCGACGTGCTTCATCTCACGTTGGCAAAGCACTTCACTTCGAGCACAGAGGTTGTCGGTCACTTCAAATACACGTGCTCAATTTAGCGTTGCGTGTTGCAGGCAGGGTTGATTCTTTGGAGCGTGTCGGGTTGCTTTCCCGGGAGGTGTGGCGACATAGAGTTCGCTTTTTTCCAATCGTGAAGAACTAACTCTCACGATTCGAGCCCATGCGTCACATTAGACCTACAGTTTGGACAGGCTGGCACAAGCAGGCAGATGGGCCTCTAAATGACCGCACTGGGCCACAGTCACAGGTTCTTCGGCATGGAGCATCACAGAGGTGGGGCCAGCAATGATTTCACGACCGAAACTCAAATTATGAGTTGAAACTTGTGTAAGCTTGGAGCTTCTGCAAGCCTCCTGTAAGGCCAACGAGAAGCCATGCAAAAAATCTAGAAACCGGGATGCCCCAAACACGTTCCCTACGCACCCAGGATTGACCTAAAGCAACCTATAGACCTTCTAAGGGTTTGGGAGAAGGGTGAAAGCTTTAGGGTTTGGGATTTAGGCTGGGCGCGGGCGTGGCCGGGCTCGCTCCTCGAAACTGGCGCTGCTGAAATGCGAAACGTCTGTGTTCGCTTTTTGACGTGAAATGCGACACTGGCGCCGCTTTTAGATGTCTGGGTTCGCCTTCCTCTCCCGCTTCCTTTTCCCTGCAAAAAAATGCGTGACAGGTACTGCGCAAGTCCTTCGCTTTGGTGTCCCTTCTGTGCAGATAACAGTATGTGTGTATTCTTAATCCGAACATTCAATTCTTGGCAGGAAACCAGAGGGAGTCCTGGCCTTCGGAAATGAGACAGCTTCTCTTGAAAACGAATCCCCTTACATTTTCTTAGTAAGAAGTAGCCCTTCCTATTCATCATAGAGATACACAGACATGCAAAAACGCGGGGCCCCACGGCCTACGTATCTGCTTCTTTTCCACACACAAATCACCGTTTCTCTTTCTCCCTGGATAAGGTCTCCCTTGATCTTAATCGGAAATCAGAACCGTGAAAAAATGAGAGAGGTAGCTCGCTCCTTGCGATGTGTTCGAGTTGCTCTTTTCTAAGAGATCGCGGTTTCACGCCCGAACGGTAAAGCACGCCCCCCCACCCCCCCTTCGAAAAACAAACGCCCCCAGCCCCACCCCGCCCCACCCCGCCCCCCCTTCCGCGACAAAGCCCCCCCCCCCTGTTGGTTTAACATGGAGGTATTCATTTGCTGGGACCCTAATTTTGTGGAGCAGGCTCGCATGCGGGCTGCTGTTTTGCGCCTCCTGCTTTCATCATTTCCAGGCACAGGCAGAATGTCAATACAAAGTGCGACTGCTCGGTCGGGGGTGTGATGGACGCTCAGGAAAGAGTTGTGCGCACTATGCCTCCTTTGGTGGTCCTCTTCTTCCATTTCTCGCCGCGGGTTTGCACAGGGCTAAGTCGTGTTTTCAATATGCTGCCTTATTGACGCCGGATGATCGTGATTTGCTCTCCTCCCAGGTCAGTTTCCAGTGCTACCTCGGTATCGAGCCCTGCGCATATATACAAATGCTGAAGCTTCATCCTCGTCTCGTCCCGCCGGTGTTGAGGAAAATGGTCACTAATGGTCACTACATCGCCAGCGCGGTTGGTGGAGAATTTTCTGAAGTGTGGAGTTTTCGTTCGCGAGGCGAAACATCGCAGACTCAAGATTTCGTACAGGCGCGGTGAGCAATCCACGTTGGAGGAGATTGATTTTGGTGTTCCCAAGTACTCCACGAATCCGATCCGCTTATGGACTTTGGTTTCGTCAAGTGATGCAAGTTTGCAATGGTGACGAGCTGCTCTGGAGTTGTTCGGTTGGCGGGCCTGGCGGCCTTCTCAGCTGCACTCAATGTAGCACCAACTTTTTCCTGGACAACCGCTACAATTTCAACCGGCAAGTTTGTCGTCGTACCCGTCCTCGCGAACGTACGCCGGAGAGGCATGTTTCTGCACGAATGGTTGAGGGCGGGGGAGGCGGGGGGGGGGGGGGGCGACCTACGCAACCTCCCATAGCTGTCCTTCTTTGCCTGTCCTTCATTCCCTGCTTGCAGCCAGCTGAACCGAGGATGGCCCTGCGGAACGATTTAGGGCCCTTTTCCTCCACCACTCTGTGTCATCCTTTTCCGAAGCCCAAGAATGACAGCGAGAGAGACAGAGAGAGAGAAGAGCGTGAAAAAAAGGATGGAAGACAGGAAAGGGGACGAGATGTGAGAGTCCGTCCTATCTTTAAGACATGAGAGAGAGCTGCTCTTTTTCCGCAGCACAAGCACCTTACCTTTGTAACACCGTAGATACCCCAAGATTCACACACTAATCGACAGGGGGAAGACATGACTCGACACTCTGCTCAAGTTGATACTTCATCCGGCTTCCCGTTGGCCATTAACACAGTTCCCTCGAAAGCTGGATCGTCGTACTTCTTGCAACAGATTCTTTGAATGATTCGGCATTATATCCCCTTCTCTTTCCCTCCTTCTTCTCCTTTCCTCCTCCTTTTCCGTCCCCATCCCCTTCTCCCATCATTTCTGTTGTCCTTCATCATTCAGGAGACAAAGCAAAGGACCAGGAAGCAGAGAATAACGGAGAAAGAGAACGACAAGAGAGAAGGAGGAGCTGTCCTGGTCCCTCTCACTGCCTCCTTTCCCCGGCCCATTTCTCAGTGTATCTTCTCTTCGCTTTTTTCCTTTACAAAGGGGTGGAAAAGCAGGAGAGGGGCGAGGAGAGAGGGAGAGAGAGAGAGAGAGCGAGAGAGGGAATAGGACAGAAGTCTTGCATGTCCCACAACCACAGCATACGGCGACCCCTGTCGATTTGCAAAGATATTGCCTGAGAGAAATGTATTGCTTTGGGGGCCAGCGGCGAGATGTTTACAGCTTCTTTCCATGATCATTCAAGAGATGGCTAGTGGCTAGAGAAGTGAGCTGGTTCACATGTCAGAGCGCTTACACGCTTGCGACCGACCTAGAAAACACCGAACACGTCGTCTGCGCATGTTTCACCGCATTGGATTGGCATGCGCTCTTTGAACGCTTTCGGATGCTTACGGGCCGCAATGAAGCAGCGTAGCAGGGTTGGCAGGGATATCCATGACATGAATTAGAGCATGTTTCCCCTTTCAAATGGCTTCGCTCCTAAAGAATCTTGAAGCATTGTCTTGGCCAAAGGCACGGGAGAGCTTTCTGAGAATGCGGAGCTCCATGTTCGGGTCACGATTCGCAATCAAAGAAAGTTTCTGCTTCTTCAAGCCGAAGTATTCGTTGAAGGTCCAACAAGACACTCTCCACATGTCGACCTTCACCACATGCTTGTCCAACTCCTGGACGCATTGGCAACATTATCCTTGCCATGTCTTGATCCGTGAACTGCTGCCAGAACCACTCCCAGAACCACTCGAGAAACAGAGGACCCGCGAGCTTGCGACATGCAAGAATGGACATTGCTCCTTGTAGGACAATGCAAACGTCTTCCGCTCGTACATAAGTATTGGGTTGTCTGCAGTAAAGACTTTGCCTTTCTCCAAGGTGAAAATTGAAGAAAACTTTGTTTGCAAACGCACCTCGGCTGCATGAGATGGACCACAGTTGCTGCATGACTGTTGCAGTAACTGTACCCCCTAAATTCTTGAGCAAGCGTCTCGATTTCGGTGCTTCTTGGGATTCTCGCTCCCCAGCGACACCGTCCAGAAAAGCTTGAGGGTCTCAACGGTGACATTCTCGAAACCTCTGATGGAGAAGGTGAGTTCCCACCATCGCGTTCTGTCCATGGGCTCTTTCATGTCCTCTGTATCTTCCTCCGCATGCACTCGATGGAATGGCAAAGTGCACATGACATCGCGAGACTGTCGCAATTCAAAGCCTCTGCTTTCCCAAATTTCGGAAGGCGTAATCGCATCTTCCTTACACAGGCGAGACTGTACAAAATGATTGCAAGAGTTGACCAAACAAAAACGGCGCAACAAGTGCATAACGGTCATTCTTGAGGAAAGTTTAGAAAAGCATCCGCTTCTGGGCGGCACCAGCTTTGGGGCCTGCGGATGCATCGCCTCGACATGTCAGAGAACGAAAAGGTTTAACATGACATACGTGGAATTCTGCTTTAGCTGCTCTTAAATGGAGGAGCATGTAGCGTGGCAAGAAAGGTCTCACGCGAAACAAGCCCTGCATGTGAAGCATCGACCTTCTTCACCCTCTGCATCAGCTGGCGTCACACTGGTCGGCTCCGCTGTGGCTTCGCCTCGGGTTTGCTGAATTCCCTTCTAGGTTGAGCGGCATGCAGCATGCTCCCTGGCGTGGCCGGCAAGATGTGCTAGTGCGAGCAACCATCGGTCTCACCAGCTTCCAGATCGACGGCCGGGTCAGTTGCCTAGCAGAAGATTCCGTACCGTGATGCGCTTCGTTTGCAACTGCCAATCCTGGCCTCAAGCGGGTCCTTCTTCTTGAATCTGCTTAGTAGACCCATCAGCTGTGAGACGGCCGCTCCATGCAATTCAAATATACCCGCTGCACAGAAAGTCTCAATGAACTGATGTAGAATACCCGAACTTAAATGTTGGTCCCTGATGAGTCTGCTGCCAAGAACTTCCTCCGAGCATTGTTCATGGAAGTCTGAGGCGTGCCATGGAAAAACATGATGATAAATAGGTGCCACATGGACTGGAGCACAACAGCCATATGAGCGCAACCACTGCCGCCACCTGAAGAATTCACAGAGATTTGGAAACCATTTCAGCCCAGGTGTTCCGATTTTCCACTGTCGCAAGCTAGGCTGCGAAGGCAGGATGACCAGGACAGATGCAACTAGAGTTGCAGATGCCGTGTCATGGACACCGCCGAAGATTCGTAACAAATAGAAAACGAATCAGACAAGCCACCCCCTTAAACCCAAACTGTACACTCACTTCTCAGGCAATCCTAGCTTGAAGTCAGCAAGTGAAATGGGCAGCATGCCGGGAACGTCATACACTTCCTTGTCGGGCCTGTTTCATGGACAGACATGCCAAAAATCCTGCAGCCCACAGCCCACAGCCCACCGCAAGCCGCAAGCTTTATCATTGCGTGTGTTGTGGCCACTCTAGCCACTGCTGGGTTCAACCGAGCACACATGAGACATCATGAGGCCAGCCTGAGTCTGGCCAGCATGGCCTTGGTCACTTGTCACTCGTGCATTGCGATGCCACATTTCTTGCAACATACCCGGAGAATACCTGACAGTGCTAACATACCCCTACAAAAAGACGGCTGACGTTAAGGTCAATGACAACATCGTTATGCTGCGTAGAAACGCCGCGCCACTTTCAAGAGCATTCCACCACCAGCACCCTAAGAGCAGTCCAAAAGCACGTCCACCGCGAGTCCAAGCCACTCCAAGATCACACTCCCCGAGTCCAAAACTCCAGAACCCACGCTCCAAGAAAGCACTCCGAAGAGCCAAAAACGAAGAAAAACGAAGAAATATGAAGAAATAGTTCTGCACTTGACGAACTTGAACGCCAGACAGAACGACGCGAACGCAAATCCCCTTGGAAGCGCACCCCTGCCGCATCACGTTACCAGCTTGTCGCGCAAGCCTCAAAAAGTTTATACGACCTTGGTGGGAGCCCGATTTGGGCCAGGGAATGCGCACGGGACCTCGTAGAGAAACAGTCTGCCCGGAATCTCTCGGCCAAGCCCACCCTAGGCCAGAGGGCGATTTGTGTCCAAAGCAAGAGCCACGTCAGTCAGCCACGTACAGGCCCTCAGCCTAATCCACCCTCATCCCATAGTGCTGCCACACTGCTTGCGCCATAACATCTGAGGGCATGGCCGCGCAATCACGGTTGCCTCCGACAACGTATCCTGCAGCCATTGGATGTCAAGGGGAAGTCTGTCCGCGAGTGCGACCTATGCATACCCAGGCCGAAACCCATCAAAATCTAGCACCAAGCTTTGCTTGCGAAGCACTCGAAGCCACCTAGCTCTGCAACTCTAATGGTAGGCAGTCAAGGATCTCGTCTTGCCGCGGTACCAAGGCAGCAGTGGTTGCCGCGTCCGTGCCTGAACCAGCGGGCCGCTTTAGTTGCTTCATGTTACCTCAGCATTTCTTTCTGCTGTCTGCTGATGTCTGCTGGTGCTGAAGCCACGGGCAAACTAACGATGCCGAACATGGAAGTTACTATACAATAAGTTCATTACACGGCAAAGCCCAGGCATGTCCATCTCAGCTCTGCCATGCCACGCCTTGAACATCTCAAACGTTTTGCCAGCACCACTGTTCAAGGGATCTGTGGCAGCAACTGCACCTGAACCCACACGAGCTCACGAACTGCAGCCGCACTATGATGCACTGATACTGCGCTGCTGACAGAACATGTTTGCAGCCCGGGCACAAACAGCAGCCACATCTGCTCGAGACACGTTTCCCACGTACGTGTCGCCTTGGTTGAACCTGATCCGGAAGCTTCATGCGCGCTACACATCTGCGCTGACACTTTGAGAATCAGACTGCAATTCCAGGAAGCCGTCGGCTGGGTCTTTGGTTAGTCCGCCTGGCCTCACCTGAAGGCAGGGACAGCGTTGGCCGACAGAAGCCAAAGGTGACATGCAACGAGTTCCCCACGATTGTGTACGACGACCTGTCACAACAAGTCCCGTCTCCAGGCATGACACATGCTTCACATGATAGATCAGAGCCGATAAGTCCAATGGCATGTGAGATACGTGAGGTAAGAATCGCACGAACTACCTTGGAAGAGCTCCTTGACCTGGTTCTCGCCCTGGTCCGCGACAGCGGCTTGACACATTATGAACTTGTTGAGATCTAATGTTGTCATTTCCTGCCTCCAACTTTTCATTTAAGACCCCTGATCCGATCCTTACCATGTCATGGTTTAGTCAGTCAAGCGCAGCCATCGAACGGGCAGCAAAAGAATGGATCATCTGGGCCGTCAACGTGTTCAACAGCAGCCCCACAGGAGCATATGGTCTGGTCACGGATGCGCTGCTGACGACAATCAGCCGGTCAATGCCTTCCTGGAGCACCACCTGCAAATGATCCGTCCAATTAAACTGAACCAGGAACCTCGACCACGTCAACGGCACCGTGCCTTCGCGCAATTCACCAAACCGGCCTCACCGTGCCAAGGAGTCATTTGCTCATGGCTGCTCCCTTGCTTCTGACTAGGCGCCTAGCATTGTCCACATCCTTCGGTTCTGTCTTACCACGCGAATATGCCGCCTTGTCTGGCGATGCCGATGCGGTGTTTCCAAACAGTGGCTTTAGCATCTGGGAAGCGAGCAGCAAACACCACAGCAGAAACCCCAGCCAAAGCTGCAGCCAAAGATGATGGATTTGTAACATCCGCCTGCCACACACACACAGAGACATACTTAGCAGTGTCCATTTCACCAGTGGCCGGTCAAGGCCAAGATGGCCAAGAAAGCTGGCATTGCTCAGGGCTAGCCTGTCCTACGTCAACGTTCCCGACATCGTCACTGGAGGCCTCTTGTTCTGAACAAGCAACCGCTGCGTGTGAGTGCAGTGTTGAACTTCTCATAACCTCGAAAGCCTTGTCAGGGGTCCAGGAACCACTTCGAGTCAACGCACGAGGCTGCGCCATGCCATCTTTCAGAAGAGCCTGCAAGTTCTTCACCAAGCTGCGCGAAGCTGCACGCGGGGTCCCAACCACAACTCATTGCTTTCAGGCACTGTGCACCTTCACAACCAATGCACCAGTTCGGCCATTGGCCCCGACAACCGCCACAGTTGGCCTGATGCAGCGAGGCATATACGAGGCATGTACGACAGAAACACTTGCAAAGCACACAATCGGCCTGGAGGAGTCCTCCACTGCGCGCGCACGCACCCGCCAGGCACGTTGTGATTGAAACCGCTCCCTGCTGCTTTGCACAGTGCTTGCACCGACCCAGTCTCCTCAGATGGGAGCACATAAGCATATTTTTAGAAGGGAGAAATACAGTGATATACCATAACAATGGCAACTGCACTTGTGTTCTGCGCTTTGCTAGTGTGCGAACAAGTTGACGGGGGCTGCCAAGCCCGAAGAGCATGCCCACAACCAACACCTGTTAAAGTGGTCAATGCGAATCAGGCAGGACAGCGATCCTACTTTGGCGCACTGGCTCACTCATGTGCCCCTGTCTGGAATTGCGTTTACATTGCGAGCTACAAACGAATAACCCGACATGCCTCTGTGGCTTTTCGTTGTTTGTTTTTGTTTTTTCAAAAACGTTAGAAGCATCGGAAAAGGTTGTAGTGAATGAATAGGTAATGAAAGTAGCTGCACCCAATAAACCTCCCGAACTTGGAATTGAATACCTTCCATGGATCTTGATTGACCGCGTCCCCTTTCGTTTCCCAGAGCAGCTAAGGGTTTCGGGTTCAGGCCTTCGAACTTTGCAGGACTCATTGGGTTATATAAGGGTTCAGAGCCTTGAGTTCAGGTCTCTGCAAATGACGAAACTACAAGGTCTTCTGGGTTCTGGGAAGACTTTAGGTTTGCCAGAAGAGGCTGCAACTTTCAAGTTGCCCATCCCGCCCCCCTCCCCACACCCCGCCCCCCCCACCCCCCCCCACCCCCACCCCCACCCCCCACATCGCCCCCCACCCACTCTATCAATCAATTTTTGTGTCAGTATTCGAACTTCACTGACAGCACCCATTGGGGCTACCGCGAGCTCAAACCGACAGCACAAACGCACAATGCAACACCGCGTTATACTTCTTGGCCAAACACATTGCTGCCCACGTTCCATTTAAAATGAAGGATTGGGATTACAACGTGTTGGGCTCATCTTCGGGCTTTTGGGGCGACAGCGGTTGTCATGTGTGCCAACCATCACGCCTGTTTCGGCTAGGTTTCCTGTTTGGGTGATTATCGCTGACGTTGGCTTGCCAGCACATTGGTTTTGATGTTTTGCGCCAACTGTTTTTCTGACACTGACCCGCTTGCTGCCTCATGTGAAATCATGTCAGTGTGCCCAATTGAGCAACAATTTTTCAGGAAAGAACGAAGTGCCGCTTTGCAAAACGAATTTTCTCAATCTTTTTCGGACAAAAAAAACGGCGGTTACCCGCTCCGATCTGTTCCGATGCGTCAATGTTTTTCGATGCGTTAAATTGCTCCCATTGTCGCTCCCTATCAACAACCCCAAGCAAACTGATCACGAGATACAAGTCCCGGAGACCACTGCAACAAGACATTTCAAGACTGCGGGCTTTTAACCTTCAAGGCTTGAAGCGGAAAACATTTCAAGAACAAACAAAGCCTTTATTATAGGCATGCTCTGTTCAACACCCACGCCCAACACCTGCCTTGGACAAGAATGCCTTGCTGACACGCATCTCCATGGCTGTGACAAGCGATGCTCTATGAAATGCGATTCTTTTGCCCCTCATTGTCCTCACCATGATGGCATGTTTGGACACTACGCGCTTCCCCTTGAATGTAAAGCCGCCGACAGCCACAACACAACATGACATGTTATTGCAAGCAGCGACAAGAGTTCATGAAGCTCTATTGCAAAAAATCATAAAAAAATCCAAGCCGGGGGGGCGCAACAGCTGTTGTGCTCGGTTGTGAGGTTGGGGGGAACGCCGAGGCTGCGTCAGTGGTGCGACGCCGGGTCCGCTTGCGGGCCTGCCGCGCCCCGGCACCTCTCTGCGCGGCTGCTGGCGTCGCCTGGGCGCGCAGGTGGTGGAGCGCCCTGTCCGTCGCATGCCAGCAGGCGGTGGGGAGGGCAAGGGCGGTAGCGGGGCCGCTGGCTGCCGTCCTGGCTCTTGGCGACCCGGATGGACCGAGTCGCCTTCCGGTGCGCTGAAGCCCGGGCCGGCTGCCGCTGCGGGCATAGCTTGCCCGGGCAGTTTAGTCTAGGAGCCGCTTAGCCGACCAAACGGATAGCAGGCATGAAACGGAAAAAAATCCATGCCGGCACCCTGGACGCGAGTAACAAAAGATAATACGCGCATCAGCTTTGGCGTCAAAGCCAATGGCTCGAAAGCACGGACGCTCGGAGTCAGGACTGTGCAAGGATGGGCCTCAGCGGCATTGCTTCCCACTGACCTCCCAGCGCAGGAGCCGGAAACCTTGTTTTGGGAGAGCCCGCGCACCACCCTGCAAATCGGACCATGGAAGCACCCGCCTTCCACGAGACCATGCCACTAACCGCCAGCCCCACTGACATAGCTATGTTGCTGCCCAATGGTTGAAGCGTGTCAAAGCCACAGTCACCTTACATTTCCTTGCACGCTACCAAACGGCACTTCAGAACACAGCGTCCTTACCAACCATGTCCACACTTACTTACATGCAGGAGTACAGGAAGTCCGTGGGCCCTGCTCAAGCTCGCGTCTGGGGTTTGGCTCGTCGTGGGCATCATGACTTTTCGGATGGTGTGAACCTGCAGCGACCTTGTCAAGTTTGTGCTTCGGCCAGTGAATCATTGACTCGCTTCAGCACGTTCTTGTGGTCACACACGCAATGCGTTTATCACTGGACACATGACTCAGCACGGAGCCCCATGTCAAAGCCCCATGCAGAATTGCATGCGGTGTCGCTTTTGTGGCTCACATGTCTTCTGAATATGAGTAGTGTCAGAACACTGTCATGTATGATGATATTGATGTAACGGATGTCGGAACTGTTGGCATGATTCATGTCGCACTCCTTATGTGATATTTGTAGGAGGGGCAGGCGGGAGGGGAGTCTGCGTGGCAGCAGGCGTACGCGCGCTGCGCCGCCACCACCAACAGACCCGTGCATCTGTGGACGCTAGCTTGGCGCGTAGCGGGTCGCACGCGCGTCGGGGGGCCGCACGGGCGCGGGCATCGGCGAGCAGGCGGGGGAATGCGACCGTCTCCGCCGTAAGCCTCCCACCCACCTCCAGCCCAACCATGGGCCGCTGGCGTCGAGTTCCGCATGCCGAGTGAGTGCATGCGCGTCCTATTGCTCCGATGCCTTCGGGCGCCCTTACGTCACGCCCTACGACGCTGCCGTTGCGGCAGGGCCCTCGACGTCTGGGGTGACCATCGCACGGCCTGCCCCACAGCAGGCGTGTCGGATGTGTCGGGCCCGCGCGCCGCGACTCTGGAGCGGGCGGCCGCGCGAGTGTGCCGCGAAAGCGGTGGCCAACAAATTCCTCTTCCGCGACATGAATCTTGATGTACCGCTGGCGGATGCCCGCAGCATCGAAGTACTGGCAAACGGCCTCCTTCTTTACCAGGGAGCGCAAGTCGCGGTTGACAACACGCTGGTAAGCCCAGTCACGCGGGACGGCACAGCTCGAGCGAGGGCAGATTGCGACGCGGCTATTCGGAAGCGCCAAAAACACCTACCCGGAGCTCTTGGTGGCCCGCCGCTGCAAGCTGGTCACCAGGGCCCGCCTGAGACAGAAGCAAAGCACGGGAGGCGGGATCGAGCTCAGATAGGAGGCTCTCGCATGCCCACGGCGCGATGCCTCCGCGACCGCGACCGCCACGCGTGCGAGAACGACGGCTGGCGCGCTATGTCGGCGACACCGGCTTTCAGAGTTCGGATACCTGATGAAGAATGCATCGATCGAGTTGCGTGTTGGCGCCGCCGGGAAGCTCGTGGCGGGCTCCTTGCCGGGTGGGAAAAAAAAGGTGGTTGAAGCGCTCATCCCCTTCATCCGCATGTTTTATGGGGTCGACAACACATATTTGCTTTATGATGCGGAGGGCCGAGGACATGCGGTATCCCAAGCCGAAGGAGGCGAACAAGGACACCGACCTGATGCCCGCTGCCCAACCGCACGGGTGCCCGATCCGCCGGCTTGGGTTGGGGACTGGGCACTATAGTCAGGGTTTGGTCGTTTCAACCCTCCGCACAAAACTGGCCGACCATGCGTTTTTGTTAGCCAGCATCCCTACGGTCCCTGATCTGCAGGTCGCCTGGTTGCTTCTGCCTCTTTGCGCCGCGCCGCGCAGCGACTACCTGTTGCGGGTTTTGAGAGGATAAACTGCTGGTCGAAAACGGCGTTGTCGCCCTGGGCACGCCCATCGGGCAGCCCGAGCTCTTGGCGACGAAGATTCGCGCCATGCCTGGCCCATTGCCACTTTTTCCGCTGCGGACGGGAGCTCCTACCTGGAATTCGGACCCCCCCAAAAAATACATTTGTAGCTGGGGATAGCTGGGGATCAGCAGGGAAAAGTAAACGTCTTTCGGGGGGTTTTGCTACGTATACTTTTTAAGAGCTTTGCTATCTATGTAGATGCCACTACCTTCAGATAGTTGCAAATACAGGAGTCTCGAAGGATTACTAACCCCAAAAAGAATGTATTCCCGGCCCGGGCCAGGTTGGATTAAACCTACTATACAAACTAGATGAAAACACAGGAAACAAACGCCTTCAGAATACATTCCCCAACCATTGGGTAATGTATGGGGGGGTGGTACCTCCCCCCCCAGAATACATTAGTTAGGAGCCCCCCTTCAGGGCGGCTTAGGTGTGCAATCCGCAGAGTGTACAACGGCCTGGGCGGACGCGCTGCCCGATGGGCGCCCGGCAACTCTCGAGGGCCATGGCGGCGAGGCCAAATGAATGCCTCCGCGAAGGCGGCGGCGTGGGATCTTTTGCAACA